GGGGGTGGGTGTTCGTTCTGTGACTTCCAGGTTAATGGAGAGTTACGGGGGTCTGAAACGAGGCTCCCGGGCAGCCGCCTCCCTCACCTGAGTGTCGGTGGAGGAGACAGACAGCCTGTCGTCGGGCAACGAGGGCGTGAAGCTGGCGGAGATGGGCGTGCCGGGAATGCCGTTGGCGTGGACGTGCTCGCTGTCGCTCCCCGCCGTGCCCTCGTCCTCCAGCGAGCTCTGGGTTTCCTCCGTCGCCGCCTCGGCGGGCTGCTGCTCGGCCGGCTCGCCCGCCGACTCCTTTGTGTCAGAGCAGAGGTTTGCAGGGTCCAGGCAGTGGCCTGTGGCGACAGCGGGTGCTTAGAAATTTGCAGGCATTTTCGTGGGAAACTAAAATCATATAACAGGAAGTGCCGTTTGAATAAAAAAGCAGATAAGTTCCATCTGACCTCCTGCGACAGTGTTGACGACCTCCTGCAGAATACTCTGAACTATTTCCTGGGCTTTCTCTTCATAGTTTAGAACCTCCTCCTCACCTGCTCTTTCATGCTGTTTGGAGGCTGAAAAAAAAACATTCAGTTAAAAGTTACAAACTGCCACTCAATCAATCAATCAATCAATGCTTTTCATATTCTACATGAGAAAACGCCGTACTCTGTGCAGCTGCTGCAGTGGCTTGATCCGCCTCCGTCTGCTCGTTTTCAGCCACGCAGAACTCTGAACCGTTCTCAGGATCCGGGTTTTCGTAGACGCCCCCCTGCTCTCCYGGCTCTCCGGACTCAGACCTGCTGCTGGACTCTGTGGCCGGCGTGGAAGGGGTGGACGGGGTGGACGGGAAGGCGATGTTCGGGGTCGGAGGGCTGACGGGGCCGTTGGCCTCCTGGGTGGGAGGCTTGGCGGGTGGGTGTACGGGGGTCTGCAGCTGCGGGGACTCGGGCTCGGAGTGCTGCCGGTGCCGATCTCTCTCCAGCTGCTTCGCTTCCTGCAGCTGAGGGCGAGGGGAAGGGGAAACACGCACCAAAAAATAATAAAAAAATACAAACAAATAAAAAATAAGTCAAGAAACAGAATCGCAAATTAGCAATAAGGAAACACACCAAAACAAACAAACAAACAAACAAAAAAAAACAGGTTTACAGGTTTAATAAACCAGACTGCCAAAACAAATATAGCTTCTATGTTTGGAAAAAGGCATCTAATGTGTCAGCTGTATGGAAATGTACATGAATCTCCACTAACGTGCTACTGAAACAACGTGAAATTATTTCATGCTTTCTAGCGTGTCGGTCCATTAAATAAAAAAAAAAACAGTTCTGGTGGAAAATGTCTCACACAGGCACGTCCTGATTGATGTGTCATGGCTGACATGTCTCTGACAGAGAGGGAGCGACAGAGCGTTGCCGTGCTTCAGAGCTTGCACACACTTATGCGCACCTCAACATGCTGCTGAATGATGGGATATTTCTTCAACCAGACTGCCTACACCAACATGGTAACATCTGACTTTTGACAGGAAGTGGACTAATCAGATGACAATAAAAACATCTGTCTGACTGTTGAACACATTCCAGTTCCACTGAAAACAGACAGGTTCAAAACCTAGAAGCAGTGCAAAATCTCTCAGCCAGACTAAAAAAAAAAATAAATAAATAAATAAACATCAGATTTGAAATTAAAGTGCATTTGAAGAGAATAAAAGAGTAAAAAGAAAACATACAGGTAGACCTGGACGTCTTAGGGAGCAGAAAGGGACATGAGGTTCATATGAAAATGTAAAAAGTGACACTTTTACAAAACCCATGTACCGAGGATGGAATTTGGGAATAAAAACTAACCACAAGTTTGAAAACTTAGACAAATATTAACATTTAAATTAAATAGTTATAAATGTTGTGAATGACTCTCCGATACTATCGGATCAAATTTTAGCTCAATATTTGCAAAAGTGAGTTACAGTCATTTCTGTGTTGGCTGAAGTTAATTAGCTGCAGCAGCCTTTTTGAATTGGACTGAACTGAACGTTTCATTTACACCCACCCAGTGGTTCATGAGATATTTTGCTAACAGACAAATTGAATGGCCAAATTTTAAACAAAGATCTTGACGCTGTGTTTGAGATCAGTCCCGGCTACTGACCACACCAGGTTTTAGCCGATTTTCTGTGAAATTGAAAAAATTGGAGACATTCTTCTGTTGGCCAATGTTGATCAGCTGCGGTGGCCATTTTTAATCAGGTTGACTCCATAAGTAAATCCGTCGCAAAAGTGCATTCAGTGATTATTTTCTGAAAGTTTCACTAAAATCAATCTGTTGGTTGATGAGATATTTCGCTAACAGACAAGAGATGACGCGGCGACGTCAACATTGTATCGGTTTATCGCACGTACAGCGTTACAGCTCATCTTACAGCCTTGATTAGGCATTTCATCCGTCTGTCTTGTGTTGAAAAAGCACAATCCTATTAGGAAGCGCTCGGTTCTAATTAGACGAGCCCGCTGCTTGTGTCACACGTAAACGTAACTGAAATAAATTGAACGGAGCGGCTTTTTAAACAAACGTTTAGTATCAAATACGAGCAGACGAAAACAGACCGGAGGGGGAAATCGAGGCGGCACAAACAAACTAAGCTCATTATTTAAATGCCACCTCAGTTGGATAGTGAAGGGTGTGTGTGTGTGTGTGTGTGTGTGTGTGTGTGTGTGTGTGTGTGTGTG